GCGACTTTCTCCCCGTTCATGATGACCGCCGAATGCATCGTGTCGTTGATCTTGCTGCAGATTGGCGGTGCGGCGGCAATGGGGATGTGGCTGAGGATCTGTTTCGAGTGGCCGAGAGTACGCATGTCTTTCACGCGGCCAGGGCCTATGTTGCGTAGTTTGGTGAGGGTAGCTGGGGGGATTAGATGGAGTGACGGTTGACTCGGTGATGTTGGTGGGGATGTGAAGACTAAGGTGGGTGCGAGGTGGGATTCTAGGGACGCGATTAGGGAGGCGGGTGTTGTTGTGGTCATGGCGGCTTGAGGTCTGCTTGGTGATGGGTCGTTAGGAGGGGGTAGGTAGTAATAGGTGGTTCAGGCGGATACAGGACGTCGGAGCTTGAACAGTTGGCATTGGTCTAGGTATCAGATGCATCTTTCTTCTAGACTTCTGACAGAGGGAGTTGCGCAGTTAGTGCTGAGTAGTTACGATCCAACCTGGCGAGTTAACAAGGACACGTGCCAGTGAGTGCAAGTACAACTGTGGGCATCGGTACTGCCAACATAGCGGTGGAAGTGGGATTGCTTTTGGATGGCTGACCAGCATGATCAAGGTATCTGCATTCATCATGTGTCTCAAGATTGACAGACTACCGCATCAAGCACATGGTTGTTGAAGAAGTGTATGATTATTAGATACATGTGTGCTGCGATTCGCGGCTAGTATGAAAACAGAAATCTTCTGGCAAAGATAACGTCAAAGACAATTCCGTTCCACTACCAGAGATTCCAAGCACTAATTCCATCGTAACTTTCCATCACTAAAGCGCACATTGTGGCGGTGTAAGGATGACGACGATGGGGCGCGTGTGTTATGGGGCGCGTGCTTGTCGTGGCACTAGCGACCACGCTATGGATGTTGTTGTGATAACGTTTCAATATTCATCCGGGTGTCGGCTAGGCGAAGGCTGACTGACGGCTGGGCGCTCGTCAGGCGATGACTATTCTCTTCCAACGCTTGGTCGAGAAAGTCTTGGTGGTGTCGTTATGGTCTGATAACCGTTGTTCGTAGATATTCGTGATGGGCATGTGGAATTTTGACGCAAGAAATGGATGCGCGTCGAACTTCATTTATCATGATGTTCGGCGACCCTTCTTGCTGCCCAGAGTGAAGGCGCGCTTGAGCTTGCTTTCGGTGGCAGTGGGCGATGTAGGGCTTGGTGTAGAGCTGCTGCCTGACCGGCGAGGGTCTGAGCTAGCGGATGACTGAGAAGAGGACCTCTTGCGGCTCTCTTCTGCGAGGATGTCGTCCAGTGAGACGTTGAGGTGGGGATGACTGATCGGGACCTCTTCGAGGTTTTCGACAAAGCGGGAGGCCATTGCGTCGGTAGTGGTAGTGAAGTGATAAAGTGGGTGGACGTTCGTTATGTGTGAACGGATGTGGGGAGATGCAGATCTTTATAGCACAGTATCGATATATAGTGCTGGGTGGCTGATATGATCTACGAGTGATGTGTCGAGCGTGGCTTATGGTATATGTTCCAGACGTCGATGTGGCAATGTCCGGATATAGTATACCAAGAGAGCAGGCAGTTGCGGATACCGGAAATAGTGTAGTAGCGAGAGTGGAAAGGGTGAAAGCTCGAAGCGATGGTAGACGATATATGCCGGAGTAATGAACAAAGCCTAGGCATGCAAGGGCGGCGAAAGGTTTTTAAACATATCTCAGGGCGTGTGTGGACGAGCAGGTGGACGGGGTCCGTGTGTCGACGGCACACGAGGCCAGGGACTTGCTACAGTACGATCCAGGGTCTGTCCCGCCGATCGCGAAGCCTCGATGCATATAACGGCGGCGCTAAGGGCAGGGTATGACGTACCAAAACGTTCTGGACAGCGTTCTGCTGGCAGCCACACGGTCTTCGTGCGGCCATAACGGGCGCGTAACCGCGTGCGACAAGTGTTCGGTCGCACAGTCCCATGGGTGAGCGTACTGGAAATAGCAGCGCTCGCAGGACTGACATATCCGCAAGGGCTCTCCCAAGCCGCTTGAAAGCGTCAACCAGATTACGGACGTCTTCGCACGACTGCTGGCAGGATTGCGCATCCGACCCGCCGCCGCCAACCTCTGCCCAGTCATGCGCAGCGCGACAGCGGCGACCTTGTGAGCCTTGGGTATTATTGCTCAGCACGCGCAACCCTTTCGCCACAGCTTGCGAATATCGGCTCGCCGTGTCAAATAAACTTGCGCCTAACATGCCTGCGATCAGCACGATCCCCAGGCAGTCGCGAGGCAAGACCGAGCCTGAGCACTTTATCCGCAGCAGTTATATTGAAACTGTGTCCGCACGACGGCAGCTCGCATGCGGTGTTCTCGTCGGGTCCGCTGCGTCCATCGCGAGTATGGCCGGGCCTCTGACGTAGGACGAGAGCCATCCAATATTACAGCCACCACTTTGGCTATAGTTTCCAAATCACGGCCTTGTCTAAAGCGCCGCCCGGCTCCGCTTGCCAGCGAACGATTGCGACAACGGTACAAGCTTCAAACGAGAGGCCTCGCCTAGGTTTGCGGTGTATGTGAAATGCCATACTCGGCAGCTAGTCGACAGCTAGTCGACATCATCGTGCAGGGTCCTCATTCAAACTGTCCGGCGCCCGGACCCTTGTGGGTCTGTGACAACGGTAGACCCCAAACTTCTGCGCCATCCGTCATGTCAAGTGGGCAGCGGAGCCGACTTTTCGAGGTTAAGTTGCAGATATAAGCGGACACACGACGCTAGCCGCGTGTGCAATTTGCTAGTCTTGGGCACCAATTGCACTTGTCATGTATACAATGTCGTGGCCATCGAGCCATCGTGAGGCTACACTGGTGTCGTGGAGCATATCGCAAGTCCACGGCAATTGCGCACTCTGCTAGACTGTTTTGAAGTTTGAGTAGTGCGGCTCTGGATAAGCTGGACGGATCATGACGACTTCCTTTGCATCATCCAAACTTTCGCATCGGCTCAGGCATACGGTTAAGTCATCACCATCGTCCCCGGCCACGACCACCCCTTCCGCCCCTCCCACGTCCTCTATGCCCTTGGCCACGCCCACCCCCTCGATGTCCACCTCCGCCTCTTCCCCCACCTCGATTGGACCGCTGTTGCTCCGGTCTCGGACCGCTCTGCGCTAATTGTGCCCGCTCTTCATCTGACGCATGAAACACATTCGGGATCTGCAGTAAGTTGCAAAATGACTGAGTGTGCGGGTTACTGTACTCTTGCGGGGTAGCCTGGACATGTATGCCTAGTGCGGGGTCGTATGTCGGCGCAGTTGCTGTAAAATCCTCAGGTATCATCATCTTGTCAGCTCTAACAAGGTTCTCTTCGATCCAAGCTATCTCCTTCTCCACAAGAGGTCGGTAGACCGCATCGCCTTTGTCTGCAGGAACTTGCGCATAAGGGTCGCCTACAGTGAGGTGATCGGCGAAGACACGAGTAATGGCAAGCCACTCCGTGTCATACTGCAATCGTAGAGGCCGTTGCAATTCTGCAGGTGTATGTGGTTGTATCTCCAGCAATTGCAGAAAGCTCCGTTTGGGCAAGCACTTGTCAAGTGCGAGGAAGTTGGTCGTCTTGTTCGTTATGTCTTCAGGAAAGGGGAGGGTCTGTACTATCTCAGCCTTCGGACGTGAGAATGATTCCGGTAAGAGGCTGCGAATGTCCTCTGGAACTTGAGTTTTGCTCTCCGTATCAGCAGATTGCATAGGCTTCTTAGGCTCTGCGACTGGTACAGGGGCCACCTCGTCGTCGTCCAAATCCATGTCAAGATCAATTTCGGCATCGTTCTTAGGCGCTGGTATCGGCTCCTCGTCTGATACATCCAGATCAATCTCGCCGTCGTTCACGACTCGTGGGATAGCACTATCAGCATCTGTTTGCGGTGGCGGAGCATTCGGAACTTCTGCGTGGTCCCAGACAGCGGGGAATTTAGCATGCATATGGGCGCTGAACCAATGAGGTGGTCGCAGGCGCTCGAGGACTACCTTTGCAGCAACACTACCAAGAGTACCGTCCTTGGCCTCTTGCTCAAAGTCTGGCTTCCAACTAAAGAGCTGCCGGTAATTGCCTTTCCACTCCATACCGCGCGGCCAGTCATGGCTCAGTCCAATGTCAACCTGCGTCCGTATTTGAAGCAGTTTCCGCACGTCGAGTTCTCGAACATGATAGATGCTCCTGACGTCGTCACTGTTGTAGGGCAAGCGCTCATAGTGTGGCTTCTTGTAGTTGTAGCCTTTCCAGATACCAGACAGACCAGCAATGCGCAGTGGTCCCAGCCGTATCACATTGGCTGCGCCCATGTAGTATATCTTTGGCGCGGCCCACCCACCGTAGTAGAGCTCCCACATGTAGTTGCTCGCTTCGTGGTTGCCGCCGATGAATATGGTGAGATACGGGGCTGTGCGCAAGCCTGAGTAGTATTCGTGAAAGTCGTGCATGGCGTAGTACTTGGAGGGCATCGATACTGCCTTGAGATCGGACGCGTTTCGAACAGCCTATAAAGTCAGTCATTGGATGAGCGCTATGAAGGTTTGACGTACCTGGAAGTCACCGCCAATGATCAAGAGATCCACATCTGGCCAGCCTTTGAGCTCGCAAGCTTTCGCGACAGACGCATAGATCTCGTGTAACACTCCATGGCCGCAACCTTCGACTGCTATGCGCATGCCTTGCTGTTCTACCAGTTCTAGGGCGGCCATACTTGGAGGTTGGTGAACGGGTAGTTAGTGAGAGCAAGGCTTGTTAGTGGCGCGATCGCAGAATTGCTGCTAGAGCTTTGTTGCGCAGTACACTAGCGCAGAAATCGCAATACGCGCAGAGTAAACATTGCAATGAATGCTGCTGTCGAAGAAAGTAAGAGCACGGCCCTGCAGCCCTAGCGTCGGGGGTCGGAGTTATGATAAGCTAGCGAGCACGTGTAGATACTGGACCTGCAGGAAGCTTCTCAAGATCTGCGCAGAGGTCATCCAGGTCCTCTAGACACATGGCTTCAGCAACTCAAACAGAGCTGAGGGCGAAGTTCCTTCAGGAAGCCGCTCATCTCCTCGCAATTCCCTCGCCAACAACGGCAGCGTTTCTAGGTAATGCATGCAACAAGCTAATCGAAGATGCTGAAGTCGGTATTTCAAGCAAGGAGACGGATGCCCTCCGACGAAGTATTTGCGGCGCATGCGGGAATGTCATGATTCCAGGATGGTCGTGCAAGGTTTCGAACAAAGACAAGCGCAAGAACACTGGCAGAAAGTCGTCGGTGCCCGAGAAAAGTATTCGGTATACCTGCTTGCGATGCGAACGAGAGACACTTCAGACGCTTCAGCGAAGGCCTCGCAGACAGGTCAAGAGATCACGGTCTCTGTTGGATACAGTCTCAACGTCGGCGGCTCCGACTACGACTAAGAAAGAAGACGATACAGCTCCAAAGACGATTAATGCAAGCAGCAAGCAAAGACAGAGGGCACGCAAAGGCGGCCTGCAAGCTATGCTTGAAAAGAAGAAGACACAAGACTCGGGCACGGGCGGACTCGATTTCATGGACTTTGCGCTGTAAGTCCCGTAGGGCTGAGTGAATGCAGCCCACCTGCATGGAAGGGCCTAGCGACCCGTGGACACCCCGCTATGCAAGCGCGGGGCTCAAAAAATTCGAGAAGTTATGTCATCAGAACTTGCGAAAGTCAATACAGTCGCAAGCAAAATTACTTTGTCCAACACCTTACACCGACATTAATCGATTGCAAACATGGCACAGCAACAGAGCCTTGCGAAGGATCTCTTCGAGGACATGGGCCGCAAGGTCGCCGAGGCGAGCGCCCAGGGAGACAACGACGACACAAAGGTGGTCGACGAGATCGAAAGCATGTGCATGAACTGTCACGAAGATGTGGGTGCATTTGAAAAGTAATGATAAATTCAGCTGACATTTCAAAGGGTACTACGCGCCTCCTCCTTACAAGAATACCCTTCTTCCGCGAGATCGTCCTCATGTCCTTCTCATGCCCGCATTGCCACTTCAAGAACTCCGAGGTTCAACCCGCCGGCGAGATCCAGCAACGAGGCATCAAGTTCTCCCTCAAAGTCGAAACGGCCGACGATCTGAGCCGTCAGATTATCAAGAGCGATACTGCAGTGTTCCGAATCGAGGACATTGATCTAGAGATACCACAAGGGCGAGGACAACTGACAAATGTGGAGGGTATTCTCGCAATGGTAGCGCAAGACCTGGAGCAGAAGCAGGAGGAGAGGAAGGCGGTGATGCCAGAGGTCTACGAGCAGTTGCAGGGAGTCATCACCACGATCAAGCAGATGGCCACCGGAGAGAAGCTGCCGTTCAAGATCACGATCGACGACCCTGCCGGCAACTCGTCAATCGAACCCCCCAGTGTACTTGGCGCAGGAAAATACTCTCGCAACGAATACCCACGAACGGCGGCGCAAAACGAAGCGCTCGGTCTGGGCGACACCAGCGGTGACGCCAGCGGTGAAGCGCCTGCCACAGAGATCCGACCAGAGTACCACGCTTCCCAAATGTACCCAGAGATGCCATCCTCTCACGCCCCAATGGTGAACAACGTGGATGAGGACGATATTGTGGAGAACCAGGTCTATTCCTTCCCTGCCAGCTGCCCGGGATGCACCAAGTCGTGCACCACAAACATGAAGATGGTCAACATTCCCCACTTCAAGCAGGTGGTCCTGATGAGCACAGTATGCGATCACTGCGGATGTAAGTTTATATCATGGAACAATCAACGTTTACCTGCTAATGCAATGCAGACCGAAGTAACGAGGTCAAAACCGGAGGGGAAGTTCCTGAGCTGGGTCGTCGTATCACAGTCACCGTTGACAGCAAGGAAGATCTGTCGCGAGATATCCTCAAGGCCGAATCATGCGCCATGTCCTGCCTCGAGCTCAACCTCAGCGTTGAACCCGGTACTCTTGGTGGCAGGTTCACCACGATCGAAGGTCTACTGACCCAAGTACGCGATGACTTGAAATCTTCCATCTTTGACGCTGGCGGAGGAGGAGACTCAATGGACTCAGAGTCCAAGCAGAAGTGGAACACCTTCTTCCACAACCTCTCTGCAGCCATCAACGGCGAAGACAAGTTCACTCTCGTTCTCGAAGACCCTCTCGCCAGCAGCTACGTCCAGAGCTTCACGGCACCGGAGCCCGACCCAAAGATCAAGGTCGAGGACTACAAGAGGACAGAGGCGGAGGAGGAGGAACTTGGGTTGCTCGACATGAAGACGGAGGGCTACGAGGAGGAGCATGCGGCTAACATGGCAGCGAACGGGACAACGACCAATGGCGCGTAGGGCTAACTTCGATGTCTCTTAGATTTCCTTGACTCGTGTATTAGGTCGGCGCTCGTAGATACCAAGGCCTCGCCAGCCATGATCAGTATGACATGATCTTCTTCCAACTCTTCCCTGCGTCCATGCTTCGTGATGCCTATAGCGAGCTGATATCATTCTGCCCGACGCCAATAGTGTGAATGGTCGACTCTTTCAGATCTTGATCCGCGCTTTCTTTTTCTGCAGATGACGCGACATCTTTCAGGCTCCAATCAAACACTACGCTTCCAGCTTGACATAAGTCGCATTGCTACCGCTGTGCCCAGTAACAGATTGTTCATCCTGCTAGCGGGTTTGCATGAATGGTAACATTCTTGATTTCCATCTTCTCCTGCGGTCTTGACTTCTTGTCTACTTGAACGGCCTCCATGTCATCCAGCACCTCCCATCCTTCGAGCACCTTCCCAAAGACGGTGTTCTTCCCATCCAAGTGCGGCGCAGGCGCAAACGTGATGAAGAACTGCGAGCCGTTTGAATTTGGTCCCTTGTTCGCCATGCTCAAGATGCCTCTCGCATTGTGTCGCAACGCGGGCCGAAGCTCGTCCTCGAAGAGCTGGTTTGGCGTGTCGTAGATGGACGTGGAAGTCTTGGACTTTGGGTCTGAGGCTGGCGAGCCCGTCTGGACCATGAACGAGGGGATCAGGCGGTGGAAGGGTGAAGAGTTGTAGAAGCCCGAGGCGCAGAGGGCGAGGAAGTTCTCGGCGGTCTTGGGGACGGCTTCGCAGAATATTTCGAGTTTTATATCGCCCTTTGAGGTATGCAGCTAGTCGCTGTTAGCAGCAGGCCCGAAGTAGGCAGGCGGTTGGACTCACTGTGACGGACATGGTGGTGGGTGCAGATCAGTCGTGTTTGTGGTTTGGAAGGAGCGATGATGGCGCACGAATCGGACCCTCGAAGTCGAGCGCCCATCCACCTCCACCTCGTCGCGCCTAGAACATCGCGCGTCTATCCGACTGCGCTTACTGTGTGCAATCGCCCTGCATTCGCTGTCATCATCATTGCTACCGCCCGCTGCCCACGCTGCCTCCTCTGCTCGCGACACTGGCAGACGGCCGACCTCATCATAAGCGCCGCCGCATAAGCTCCACCCGGCGACAGCCCTACCACGCTCGGGACGTAATCCACCACAGTATCCCCGCGCATTCACCCAAGACACGCCCATTCCTACATCGCAAACCTTAGCCGTCGGCCCGCCGCGCACCCACCGGCCTCACTGCCACGCTGAGCCCCGCGGGTTCGAGATACGAGGCGCCTACATCATCTCAACCCCACAATTGGCTGCCCGGAAGGCTACCTAGCTCCCAGCACGGCATAGCTGCCCGGCGCATCACTACCCTAGAGCCTCCAACGCGCGACGAGTGACGAGGGCACCGCATTCTGAAAGGCCACGGACACGCCCATGCAGCGCCCGCTGCCCTCCCAGGCCTGCGCTGCGAGAAACGAACATGTCGGCCTTCGTTCGCGTCTCAGGACCGCCAAACAGTAATTTCCTGGTTGGCTATCCGGGCATATCAGCAACACTAGTACGTGTCTCCAATCTGTTTCCGTTATGAGTGGGCGTCTTGCGCTCCATCCAGCCGCGTCGAGTCGCTGTATGACCGACTCCCCTTCGACAAGGGTACTGGCCATTGCTGACATGTCATAGCCTCGAATAGAAGGCAAAGTCGAGATACGGCCACTCATTGGAGTATCGGCGCCCGTCAATGTCTCCCTCGTCACCATCGCATTACACCGTCGCGAAACCATACACCCGTCCGCCGACTCGGTTACGAAGAAGCATCTGGCAGCCCCGCGCAAAGAGATTACCGACATCGTCGGTAAGGAAATGCTTCTATATCGATGTTCACCCGGAAGAGAGCATGAGAGTATACTATGTATGGACCTCCCGTTCGTCATCTTCATACCGTATGGAAGGGGCGGCGAGGAGGTAGCGAGGAGAGTCCCGCCCGCGAGTCTACAACTACCGAGTCGGACGGCTGAGACCTTTTACGAACTCGTCGTGACAGTACAGCAAGGGCCCCAGGAACAGAAAAAGTATCCCTTTGCCGTGCCGATACAACGATACGACACGCTTTCTACCTTTGGCATGTACAATCGACCCGAAAGCGCAGAACGAGTGACGGATCACCTCGTCACCCTTGGGATCAGCCTGCCGAGATGGAGTTATGGACCCATGGACCCAGTCTCAGTATACATCAAATTGAGTCCCAACCCCGACTGGCTGAGCAAGGCGAAGAAGGTCACAATCAACAAGATTACAGTCGGCATAGACGAAGAGATCATCTTCAACCACGAAGGAGATGAACCGACTCGTAAAGTCAAGACGCTGGCAAAAACGCAGCAACACGTCGGGGTGAGGATGCCCGAAGCGGGCTATTTCACGAACCTCGGGCTGGTCTTCCCCGCAAAAGATCTACGAGACAACGCAGGTGTTATCCCAAGAGGGCAGAAGGAGTTTCCCATGTACGCTGTTACTGGGTTTACGACGACTGGTACTCTATACAAGATTGAGTACTACCTCACAGTCAAGGTAGGCTGGACTGGGCGAATTGCAAGCTGAAAATTATGCTGACTGAACGCAGGCGCAAATGTCGTCAGCCCGAGACATTCTGCTCCGTCAGCCTATTGTGGTATGTCCTTTCGACCATGCAGGCTGTAAAGAGGAAATGGAGGCCATCGAGCAGGCAGCCAAGGACGCCGCACACGTCACACCTGACAACCCCATGTTACCCGCCAGTACCATTGTTCGATCCAACGACCCAGAAGGCTTGCGCGCACTCGGTATCGCAATCGTGGGAGGCGTACGGAAACCGCTGATTGAGTGAAGAGCTGGTCGCGCAAAAGCATTGAGGATTTTGAGGGATGCGATTTTGCCATGCGTAGGATACTTGTGTTCGATATTCCGCACGGTTTATCTCTGCGATTGGAGGGTCGAGACGGACTCGAGCGCCAACCGTTGTTGGATGAAGCCACCGGCAACCAGCCGACCCGACCAGGACAGACGATTTGCACCACTTTGCACGCAAAGCACTGGATCCCATGAAGGCGATAGCATATAACATAGGCGCAACACCGATCATGCTACCAGCGGAGCCCGGAGTCATGTCGAAGCTACCATCTACAGCACGCATTGGGTCTATTTGAACACAAAAGGCGCAAGGTCATTATACCCAGTGAGCTTGTGCATTGTTTATAG